TTCCAGTTAATTGCAGTAATTGCATATACGTTTATTTACACATTGCCACAATATTCTGAGCTAGGTAAGGACCATTTAAAAGTGTTCCATGTAAAAGAGGTGACAGTTGCAGTGTTCCACCAGCTCTAAGCAGCAGGGAGAGTATATTTTACTCTGCCCGCACTTCTCCTTTAAGCACCTAGCATTACCTTCAGTTAGTTATAATTTTTATATAATGTATTTGACTTTGAAATATTGATAATATTCTGCTATCATCAAGGTCATTATAGCTGTTTTGCTGATTTGCACAAAAATGCATTACTCTCTCTCTGGTAAGCACACATTCTCCTAGAAAGCGAGTCATGTACTCTGTCACGTGAGCCCTATGATGTAGCCTGTTTACGTTTCCCTGCATATATGTGTTTTGTTTGACAGTAATTAACTGTGGCATCAGCTGAGCTTGCAGTTTTGCTATAGACAGATTAAGATGTATAGACTTTATTAAAGAATGAAAAATGTGGAAAGGAATTGTAATGGCAGGTTGCAATCACCTATATGATATGTTTTTCATATTCAGTGATTCCTGACAGTAGTGACTCATAAATTCATGCTGTTTTTTTCTGCAAATAGTGCGGCTGCTCCTGTAGTTGTTTTGTAACAATAAAAAACTTTTATCCTAAACATCCTGTGCATTAATTGAAGAGATTTACAGTAATTTTGTATCCAGTGATTGTGAGTGAGTGATTATGTTCATGCTAGCTTTATCATGGGAGGTAAAACAGCAAATGGTCACACAAAATCATACCAGCCAGTAATTTTGTACCCCAAAATTAGTTAGACGTGTGTTTTCTGCACCAGTTGCAACCAGTGTTGCAAATAGCAATATACAATGATTTTCAGATGAAACAGGCCATCCTGACCGTGACAGTGTTTGTTGCAGTCTGGCTGCACCATGGTAGTCGGAGATTGTTCTGTTACAGAAAATTATAGTCAATGGCACAGTAGTCTGCGGTTGCACCGTTATAGAAAATGTGTTCTAATTTCTGCATTTTCTTCATACAGTTTAAGTGGTTTTGGTTTTAACAGCAGATATTTTAATAATGCATTTGTTTGCACAATTTCACATGGATCTAACAGCACCAAAAATGCATGACTGCAGTGCTAATGAGGCCTACTAGCAAAAAAGAACCTGTCCAATGTAAACAAAACAAAACAGTCATCTAGGTAAAATAACATTCAGTAATGATAAAATCATCAGATTATACTGAAAGAGCAATGATGTGTAATGTAAATTAAACTGTATACGCCTATTAGTTGAAAGTTTAATTTTGGTTGTTATGAAATGCCATGATTTATACGTTTTCTTTGCTTTTAATCTGTGTCAGTCAGTGCAGAACCTTCACCTGCAATAGAAGATCAAAGCTTGTTGTGTAAAATTGTGTAGTATGTTTGTGAAATTAGGAGACAGAAGGAGATGACAGACAGCTAAAATCAGCCGTAAATACCTAGGCTTTAGATTTGTTGACAGGTTTATTACCAGAGACCATTTGACAGTGATTACAAACCAGGTAGCCATTGGTACACATCACTTATATAGTAAAAAAATTAGGTACTGTGTTAGCAGACGGGCATATCACTGTGTGTGCTCTCTGTCTGTTGAGCACAGATGGTTTAATTTTCTTCCTTTCACCTACATACCCCCAAAACAAATCTGTTGAGTCAAGATATGGGTCTGTAAAATTTCAGAAACACACCCAAACAAGTAATTACAAACTCTTGTGCTTTTCCTTCTTATTTGTCCTCATTTGCATCCATCACATAAGAGTACACATATCCATGCAGCTCTCTGACCTCCACTAAATCTTTGAGAATGGAGTCAGTCTTTGTATATTCATTTACCTTCAAGAACTATAAATCAGGGACCCTGCACAATTCTGGGTAAGTTAACTTTCTAACTTCTAGCTATTCTAACTATTGGACCTTCACAGTGCTTTCCATGTCCTCCTTGGCTACTAACATGTAATGTCAGATAATATGACTCCTGCTTGTTCATTCATGTTGATGTAGAAATTTTACTTCAAGTGCCTCAATAGAACCCGTTTTTGTATGTCTTTTTTTTGAGGTCGCCATGTTGAAAGAGGAGAAGGGCTTTGCTTCCCCATGTAAGAGTTGCCTCCATAATAACTAGTCATATGATAACTAGTGGCGGAATGATCAAGAAGCAGCAAAAGAGATGGAGAAAGCACAGATCCATAGATCCATAGAATCAATAAAGCAGATGCAGAGACATCCTTCCACTGCAGCAGGTCCTCAGATACAGCTTACCTTTCTCAGGGTAACCCTGAACATGTCAGCAGTGACATCACCAGATTTCATTCCAGTCTCATAAGACAAGCAGTCATACAGCTATAAGACAGAGGCTTTATGCACAGAAGTGCATAGGCACGTAAAGTGCACTGCTATTTTTCAGGAGAAATTCAAGACAAAGGGTATCAATTTTAGGGTATTGCTAGTTACAAATACTATTTCTAGATGTTCTCTATTTGATTGCAGTTCTTCACTCTTTATGTTTAGGTTCACTTTAATAGTGGTTGTGGACAGTCCACGATTAAGGAAAATACGCCTGGAACATACTTTATATTATGCAGTCCCCAATACTGCCAAATGTCAAGGAGACGAGGAGGAAATTTGACAATATAAGACATCCACATGGATCCAAACTCCGAAGTTTTTGACAGACTAGAAATATAATAGGCAGCCTAACAGCTGGTAGACATTTTTTGGGCCAACAATAATCATTTATATGTAATCTTAGCAAAATTAACAGCCCCCCTCCCCCAATTAACTCAGTATGGAAAATCCAATAGGGTATTCTAGTTCTTCCGAGCTTCAGTTGTGTCTTAAGCACAGGTTTCCTTGAAAGTCATATTGGCACTGCACTGTTTCCTTATGTTACAGCGCATAGCTGTGAGCTCTCAAGTAGACCTTGCCGGACAATTCCTTACTCACCTCATTTGATCTTGCTGGTCTCTGGAATATGTTTTCAAGCCTTCATAGCAGGGGTCTTGCTCAGCTTACGTAAAGTATGTGCTTTGCTTCCACATCCCTAACCAACCATATGCGCTCTCTCTATTGCGCACACTAGCTTGCTCACTTGTCCACACCTCTTCATGAGCACAGAATGGTCCCAGCATTCTTCCATTGTGCCCCCTGCCACCAGCTTGGGTAGATGCCCGTTGCACAGAAAATTCCTCCTAGACCTGGATTCGGTGTCACCTACAAGGAGCCTGTGCCTCATCTTTACTTATATTTTACATTGTTCTGTTCCAAATGTATTCTGTCTGTTCACTGATCTCGTGTGTAAACCAATGCATTTAATTTGTCTGTAGATCAGGTTGGTACTCTGACCTTTTAGCTGTAGGCAGCATGATAAAAATAATCAAAATTGCTTTAGGTGATTCAGATCCTTTGTGGCAAATATTTTTTTTTCTGTGTTAGCAGGTATTTCACATTCTTAATGAAAGCATCTTAAATATATACCTGGACAAACAAATCTGATGCAAACAGATTATCCAAAGTTAAGAAATGTGTGCCTCTATACTGGTCAATTCTCAGTTTAGGCAAAAAAATTCCTTCTTTGCTAGTACTTATATCGCAAAACAGTATATTCTATTCAATTCCCTGACTTGTGCCTTCTACCATTTGACATTTGACATGCCTAGATTACCATTTTCACCTTGCTGTTAATTATCATGTTCTTGAATCCTAATCGCTTGGATTTGCTATTTGGATGTTTCTTCACAGATTGTACATATCTGTGTACATGTACTCATGAGCACTAAACTATTGTTATTCTCCAGAAAAGATCAGATTTGCCCAGTTTGCCAAACTGACACTATTTACTTTTCTCTGTCCCTGGTTGACCAGAACGGTACATGCATAGTCATTTGACCATGACATTAATATTTTGTTTTGTAAACATATTAGGCAAACTATATTAATAATAAATATTATATATAGATAGATCTATCTATATATATATAAATATATGTATATAGATAGATCTATCTATATATATCTATATATATTATTATAATTTTTTTCTTTTGCTGTACGTATTTTTTTTCTTTGTGTTCTGGAGTACATACAAATTCACACTGAAACAGATTTATTCAGCAAGACAAGGAACGCTGTGCCTGTAAAGCAACCAACTGAAATGATTACTCAATTTTTCACATTGAAATTGATCTTTGTAGAGCTTTATTTGATATAACATTGGTGGAGTCAGAGGAAATCTATAAAATCCTATTGAATTGATGTATCAAACATATCTAACATTTTTTTTTACCATTGAACATACTATTGTGGAGCAGTTTTATGATTGCTAATTTGCATGTATAGGTCATATGTAAGTTCTTTGTTGCTGTTATATGTACTGTATATACACTGATGTGTGTCAGAATAAAATGCTGTACCCAGAGGAAATTCATAATATACATTTGCAGAAATACTGTGTATTCCATAGGTTTCTTCTGCTAACCAAACTATTTTTAGCTGTATTAAGCATCTTTATTGTAAAATCTGCACAGAAATAAAACCATTCTGTGCATAGGAACAAATTCAGCAGCAATATGATCATTATTTTGAAATGAACAGCTGCTCTTTGATAGATAAACCTCCAAAATATGTGTCTGATTATTTGTTTAATATGAGACCTTTGAACAAAGGATTATGTTGGCTAGCATCTCTCATTGTGCTGTGTGGGAGAGTCCCCACAGAATTATTAGGTGTAAGTGCTGTAGAATCATTACATTGCTGCAGTGTGACTTAGTCACAGAGCTCGCCACTTGTCACCTGCAATGGCTGTGTTTGCAGTCACCTTACACTCTGGTGTTCATCCTAAAAGGGTTAAACAACTTATTGGTGACATTTTATTTTTCCTATTCAGCAAAACGGACAGAAGCTGGGACTGTTTTTGACAGCTAGTAAATTATTATAAATCGTGTCTTCATTTCCTGCAGGTGCTTTGGGGAAACGGACACGATTTCAGGAAAATGACTTGGCTCAACTTGTTCTAGATGTGCAAAGGGAAGGGGATTCCATCTTACGTAACGGACTGACGCCCGCACCAACCCCCATGGAGAACTTGCCCAGGGTAAGGAAAAAGTGATCTCAGTCATACCTCCATCTTTTAACCATTTCATCTCCACACTTAATTTTCAGAATGCCTGTTTTTTACACTGCAACATGATTATTTCTGTTTTCATAACCTGATCATTAATGGTAGAAAGAACATTGGCTTATTAGTTATGGCAGTACGGTGAGGAATGATGATTTAGTAATGCAGCGACCCCTAGCTAACAGATTTCACATTTTATCAGTGTAAACTATGGTTGTTGTTACATATGTTTTATTTAGCTTCTAACAGGATGATCCTATAGAAGTATAAATTAAATAATGCATTTATTGAAATTAACATATTCAGCAATAAGAACATGTTTAGGAAGCAATCAGCCAGTTTATGGCTTTTCCTGTTTCTGTTAAAAAATAATAGTATGAGAAAAGCTGAGACGTCAGACACTACCAGGGAGTTTAAAAATGAATATGCCCAGAAGACATAAATTTATATGCATGTGCAATTCAAGAGCGTAAGAGAAGATATTAATACTATAAATTATTGAATAGCTGCTTTACACATTACATAGAATTTCATAAAACAAAATATGATTTTTTTATACCATTTTCAATGAGATCTGCATTTTCTTATTAAATGCATCGACCAGAGCTTAAGCGTAAGTACTGTGACGACATAATAGGGGATCATTAACCATGCTTTCCTAGTTATAAGTACATGTTTAGTATAGAACTATCTTACAGTCTAGCAGGTCATTATATTAACTGACGCTGCACCTCATTTTATTGAGCTGTTTTCTAGTAGATCCTATTGATTATACTGGACAAAGTAAGGATTGCAGGACATCACCAGGTACAGACATGGACAAATTTGTTGGTACCCTTCCATTAAAAAAAAACAAAAAAAACAACAAATTTTTGAAATAACTGAAAACTGACCAGAGTAATTTGCATTTCTCATTGTTCCAAATTTAATGAAAGTCAGACTTTGTTTTTGATCTAACAAATTTTTTAAATTGATAAAACAAATGAAAATGACAAGGGCAAAAATGATGGGACCCTTAGTTAATATTGTGTTTCACAACATTTAGAAGCAATCACTGCAATTTAGTGATTTTTGTACCTCTCAGTGAGGCTTCTGCCTCTACCAACAAATAGTTTGACCCACTCTTCTTGAGCAAAGTGCTCCAGCTGTCTCAGGTTTGAAGTGTTCAGACTGCATATTTTAGCTCTGTGCAGATGTTTGATATGATTAGTACTTTTATCTGTCTTTTTTTAATCTGTCTGAGCAATACATTTTGCCCCAGAATTCCTTGATAGTCTTGAGATTTCATTGTACCCTGCACAGATTCAAGGCACCCATTTGCCAGATGTATCAACACAACCCCAAAACATAAATGAGTCATCCATGCTTTCCTCATCACAGTGCCAGAAAGACTATTGAAAGTTTTTTCCCAGAGTGGAAACAACTATATAATGAACAGTGACATGGCACTGGCATTTCTGCCCAACAGACTACTTTGACTGTAAATCACTTGAGCAGGACTTTTTGTCTCATTCGAACAATTTTATTTAAATGCTTCTTTAGGGGAAAGGCATTTATACGAATTATCACAAGGCGATACTTCCTCTATAGTGCCAGTTACTGTGACAGGTGGAGTGATACCAGATAACTTTAGATTGTTGTACATTTTGGTGCACTTTAAAAAAAAAAAAAATAACACATCCCTGAAAATAAGACCTAGTGTGGTTTTTGGGGGCTAAAAGAATATAAGACAGTGTCTTATTTTTGGGGAAACACGGTATGCGAGTGACCGAAATTGCAAGATTTTACAAGAAGTCTACGTCGACCGTTTGCACAATATTAAAAAAGAAAGAAGAAAAAAGGGGGGTAGATGCAGCAAAAGGAGTCACAAGAATATGAAAGCAACGGCCACCTGTTCTGGAAGATGTGGAAAAGTTGCTTCTGGTTTGGATAAATGAGGAGCAACTAGCAGGTGATACTGTGAGTGAGAACATTATCTGTGAGAAGGCAAAGGCGTTGCATACCGACCTCATAAGTAAACTGCCAGGTGCAAGTATGTCTACAGAAAATGAAGAACTCTTCAAGGCAAGCAGGGGATGGTTTCATAATTTTAAGAGGAGAAGTGGCATCCATAGTGTTGTGAGGCACGGAGAGGCTGCGAGTTCAGACACTAAGGCAGCTGAGGCATTCGCTACCGAGTTCCAGAAGCTCATGGTTTCCGAGGGTTACCTGGTGGACCAAGTTTTTAACTGCGATGAGACGGGGCTTTTTTGGAAAAAGATGCCAAAGAGGACCTACATTACAGAAGAAGAGAATGCAATGCCCGGTCACAAGCCCATGAAAGACCGTCTTACCCTCTTGTTTTGTGCTAATGCAAGTGGGGAATTCAAAGTCAAGCCCCTGCTCGTGTATCATTCCGAGAATCCACGAGCCTTCAAGAAATGTAAGGTGCAGAAGAGCCAGTTAAATGTTATGTGGAGGTCCAACAGCAAGGCTTGGGTCACTCGCATCTTGTTCGTTGAGTGGATCAACGAGGTCTTCGGTCCTGCAGTGAAGAAATACCTTTTAGAAAAGAATCTGCCACTCAAAGCATTGCTGGTTATGGATAATGCTCCTGCTCATCCTCCAGGCCTTGAGGACGATTTACTGGAAGAATTTGAGTTCATTAGGGTTAAGTTCCTTCCTCCCAACACCACTCCAATCCTCCAGCCAATGGATCAACAAGTCATTTCCAACTTGAAAAAGCTTTACACCAAAGCACTATTTCAGCGATGCTTTGAGGTGACCGAAGGAACAAACCTTACCCTTTGAGAGTTTTGGAAAAATCATTTTCACATCGTGAACTGCCTCAAGATCATCGATAAAGCCTGGGATGGGGTCACCAAGAGAACCCTAAATTCTGCTTGGAGAAAGCTGTGGCCTGATTGCGTTTTTGGACATGGATTAGAGGGGCCTGCTTATGAACAGGAGTCACCAGTTGTCGATGAAATGTCAAATGAATGTCACATTTCAGCAAAATCCTCAAAAGGAGGCAAAAGCAAGTGTCATTGGAAAGATTCCTTGTCAAGGTTTCACGAAATGAAAAAGATTCCATTGAGCCAAAAGATAGCAGTAATTCTGCTAGTGATAGTGAAAGGCGTCCTACACAATAATTCTCCTCTCTCTCATCTTCCTCACACCATCCACAAAGGTACCTGTAATTGGTTTATTTTTCTTTTATACAGTATTTTGTACAGTATTATATTACAGTACAGTATGGTAATAATTTTTATATGTATATGTTTGGGTTGTGGAACCAATCATCTGAATTTCCATTATTTCCTATGGGGAAATTCGCTTTGATATACAAGCACTTTGGATTACATGCATGCTTCCGGAACTAATTATGCTCTTAAACCAAGGTATTACTGTAATTAGCTATAATTTCGCGCTCAAGTTGCTAGAGGGCCAGACCATTACAAATAATGAAGCAGGTTGTTTACCACGACAGTAGAAGTGATTTTTTTTCTGAAGATATGGGTAAACAACACAATTTAACAACCTTTTGAACGTGGGGTGATTGTTGGCGCTCGGAGCCATGGAGCGAGTATCAGCAAAGCAGCAGAATTCGTTAAATGTTCAAGAGCAGCTGTTAAAGTGTTTAAAGACTGGACATACACACGCAAACACGTGTCGGCACGCCTACGTGCAAAAACTACAATTGCGCTACACATGTTACATATGGCCGTGAACGTTGGAGTGAGAGCAATAATTCTAGCACTGTCAATCACTGTTAGCACTAAACTGATGAGCGGTAAAAGCGTTTAAAATGTTCCCTATGGGAAATTTTGGGTATTTACTTTTTTTTGCGGCTTCACGGACAAACGCAATTTTAAGGCTTGACATGTTTGGTATCTATTTACCCGGCGTGACCCCGTCTTTCATGTTTTACAAAACAATTGGGTATTATATTATGTTGTTTCTGTGCATTAAATTTTAATTTAGTTTATTTTTTCCTAAAAATACTGGTTTGATAAACATTTGCGCAAAAAACGTGCGACGTAAAAAATTGCAACTACCATTTTTTTTTATTCTACAGGGCCTCTGCTTTCGGAGCATACATCATTGTTTGGGGGTCTGAAGCTGTTTTGTAGCCAAAAATTGATATTTTATCATGTGTGCGCAAATAGTAAGAAATTGCCCCGGACAGCAAGTGGTTAAGGATACGTGCATACAATAGGCTGTTAAATGAGCAATGTAAATGTATGGTCCTTTAGGAAGAGGCATCGTGCATGGGAATATTAATACATTACAATTATTACAGATTGCAGACTGGAAGTGGTTTAAATAGATATTGGTAGCTGGGACAGTCAAAACTGTTCCTTTTCTGTTATGTTGAGAGAGCAGATACAGTGTTTGTTAAGGTGGGGGCATTTAAATCTGCATGAGTTAGGAGTAGGTGCAGAGAACTGAGTTGTGCTCAATAGGAAGTAAATCTATGTGGCTTGGATTCCGTTTACTTGGTATGGGAAACATCCTCCATTTTAACTAAATATTCTCAGAGGTACTTGTAATTTCTATACAGGGGAGAGAACCAAATGTAGGTTAAGTTATCACTGAATGAAATACTGTGTGATGTTATCAGGTCACTGTCTCTGCAATCTTTTTTCTAATATTGAACTTTTCCCTGACAGAACCATGAGCTTCAAGATGACACAGTTCTTAATAACATCAAGTTAGTGGATCCTGATCAGTTTCAGATGCCTGACTTGTGTGCTGAGGAGCTGGCTCTTATTTTGGGAGTTTGGTAAGGTTTAATTTCCTTACACTGAACATGTTTTCTGTTGATATTGAAAATAAATGTCATATTGTTGTAGCATGATTGAATATTTTCAATGGTTTAGAATGTTCTTCATTTAAAAAGATGCAGTGTAGAAATACTATTGCTTTTCCTGTAACATTAACAAAACATTTAGCGCTCAATAATTAGAATTCAGTAGGATTGCATGTATCCATTTCTTCAGAAGAAATAAACTATAAGCAAGCTGCGAATGAAAAAACTTGCACATAGTTTGTTTTTCCTTTATCTATTACAGGTTTAGAGGCAGGAACTTTAAGGGGGGTTTTCTGTTTACCCACAAAGGTATCCAATCTCCTTTAAAATTTCAAAAGTAAGAAGACCAGCTTCTGCTGGTAAAGTAGAAGAATGAGGCTTCCTCATTTATTAATATTATACAGGATTTATATAGCACCAACAATTTGCTCTGAACTTAACAAAATAAAGGGAGACAGTACAGTTACAATACAATATAATACAAGAGGATTAGGATGCTCCTGCAAGCTTACAATCTAAAAGGGAGGGGCAAGAGATACAAAAGCTAATAATTATGTGGGGATAAGCTGATCGAGAAAATAAGAGTACAGTTTTTGGGTTTAAGAAGTATAGGCTTCTCCGAAGAGCAAGGTGAAAAAGCAAGGTGGCGGGGTTATTATTCTCATATTTGAACACTGTTTTTATAATCAAGTAATTCCTCTGACCTCTTTTCTCTTTATTTTGCTAATTTATATGTAAGGCTTCTCAAGCATTTCTTTGTTGACATCTTCACAGTCATGATGGGTTGTTTTAACATCTTCAATGAAACTTAAGTCCTGCTGCCGCTAACATCTCTAAAGCTGACTATACACTAATAAATGGTTCTCATTAAGTTTGGGGACTGAACAAAAAAAATGTAATGGATTCCTCCTTCCACACAAAGCCTGGATGAATAAACCTCCTGATGCCAGCTATTGCCCCTGCTTGATTGGCTGCTGAATATCTGGATTATAGGATGCAGGCACTGTTTGGCTTTAAAGTTTTGGACTGGCTCCCTTGACAAAAAGTTGATAGAAAAATTAACTTTTGTCAAGCGGAGAGGTGCTGACAGGGCCACCCATGACTCGAATTTCAGACAGTTCTTTGCTCGGTGTATGGCCATCTTAAATCAACTTCTCTTTTGTTTTCACTCGTTGGTCTTCTGCAACTGCTCTAATAGTACTCTAGTATTTCAGTGTTTACTTGCCCTTAGCCTCTATTTGGATTGCAGTTGGGCTGCTGTACTGTACAGTACCGTACAAACGTTTTAGGCAGGTGTGAAAAAATGCTGTAAAGTGAGAATGCTTTCAGAAATAAAAGTGTTAATAGTTTATTTAAATCAATTAACAAAATGGAAAGTAAATATACAGGCAGTCTGTCTGTCGAAGGGCTGGAAAGCAGTACAATAATGAGTGTCTGCAGGCAACAGTGGAGCATGGTGGAGGTTCCTTGCAAGTCTGCATTTCTGTAAATGGAGTTGGATTTGTTCAGGATCAATGGTGTCCTCAATGCTGAGAAATACAAGCAGATACTTATCCATCATGCCATACCATCAGAGAGGCATGTGATTGGCCCCAAATGTATTCTGCAGCAGGACAACAACTCTAAACATACAGCCAATGTAATTAAGAACTATCTTCAGAGTATTGAAGAACAAGGAGTCCTGGAAGTGATGTTTTGGCCCCCACAGATCCCTGATCTGAATCATCGATGTCTGGGATTACATGAAGATACAGAAGGATTTGCGGTAACCTATATCCACAAAAAATCTGTGGTTAGTTCTCCAAAATGTTTGGAACAACCTACATGGCGAGTTCCTTCAAAAACGTTGTGCAAGTGTACCTAGGGGAGAGGCAAAGGGGAGGTCACACCAAATATTGATTTGATTTGGATTTCTCTTCTGTTCTTTTACTTTACATTTTGTTATTTGATAATAATAAACTATTAACACTTTTATTTCTGAAAGCATTCTTACTTTACAGAATATTTTTCACACCTACTTTTGCACATTACTGTATGTCCTGTGACACCAGCCATTTGAGGGCTTGACAGTTTGGTAGAGATCTGAAATAAGCACACTGGCAACCTTGACATTTGGCATGCCTTAAAAGCTTGTTTTGGAGACAGTTAAATTAGTGGATTCCTTCCTCTCCTCCCTCCAGCAAGCCATTTTGCCTAGTGGCACACACAATTACATAAAAATCTTTGCATTGTAAATCTTTGCTATGTCCTCAGTTACTGACCTTGGCTCAAGTGCTATTCATTACCACAGTGAAATAAGCTTAGCTGTAGATTTATAACTCCTTCACTTGAGTCTACCTTTAATATTTAGCCTTCAGCCTTCACCATATGCTGGTCATTACTTGGGGCTCTGCATTGCACACTTTTTATCTAATCAAGAAAAGTTAAACTGTGGGACTTTCAGCCATTTCTGATCAATGTTAGCCTGTGTGTTCATTCCCTAGATAGAGGTCTGTCTAATGCTGACATATCTCTTTGAAAGAAAAAACTTTGATGAGAGTGCCACATTAATGGTTGTGGATGCCAAGATCTATATTTGCTTCACTTTAGATTATAACAAGGTGAAACAGCCACCACATTTTGGGGGTCTAGGCTCTCCCTCTTCATCAAGGCTTAAGTGCAGCGTGAGCTAGAATAATAATAAAGAATTGGCCCAAAAGGTATTATGGGCTTGCTGAAAAGTCATCCAAGTTATGGGCTGTGAGAGCTGACAATATAGCATGAGAGGCTGCTATGGAAGGGAGAGAGCTTCTGACAATCCCTGAAGAAAGTAGCTCAGATTTCTAAACAGAATTACTAAAAGAACAGATTGATATACAATAGGGAGATACTGTAAGTGCTACTATTATGTGTTCAACATACAGTGTGTACTGTGGTGACAGGATCTATGTCTTCTGTCAGAATTAGAATTCAGAATAACCATGCGTGCCCACAACCGTGACATTTATTCACAGAATCTTTTGATAGGATCTGTGAATGGAGCGACGTCAAGTCCCATCTGCCACCGCAAGAGAGGTAGTCGTGTTTCTCAATGGAATACAAGTGCAGTGATCTCACTGCATTTGTAGTCCATTTATACTTTCTACTGTCATTTAGCTGATACCTTGGTACAGACAGGATGGCAGGAAGAGTCTGCAGGAGCACAGAGCATTGCACCTGCAATCCAGCGATTGCAGTTGCAATGCTTTGATAACTGAAATGCAAACAAAATAATAAATGCACATTTGTCGTTTAATAATGTGTGCATTTATTATTTTCTTCCAAAAACTGGACTATGCCTTTAACATTTGCTTTTCTTTTCACACGTTTACATTGGTGTATTGGTTTTCTCTTCACAGTTGTTTTCTGTTTAGGAATCATAACAACATACAATATCATTCTTTTAAGAAATTCTGTCATGCAGCATGTAATCAGATTTCTCTTTTATTTCATTAAAGCTATGTAAACCAAACTGATCAAAGCAAAATACCTGATAGAGTGGCTCAGTTTAAAACATTGTTTCCGACAGGATTATTCTTTAATCTCTAAATTACTGTAACCTCCAGCCTTGTGCAAATGACAGCCAGCCGGATGAAAATCTGTGCCAGTCCAGTATGAAAGCAGCATGGGTAATCAGTGAGTGTGTTTTCCTGGCAAGCACAGTGCAATGCTTGTCAGTCACAATGGTCCCTTAATCTGTAGCGTGACTGGTTTTAGTCAATTTAGTTTCGCATTATAAAAGTCTAAAGATTGCTGCTCTTTTTCTTTGCCATTGCATAATATAAAAACTGGTAAAATGCAGTTCTGTAGTTTGTATAGCTGTCTTTTTTTCTACTTTGAGTAATAATATTTAAATAATATTTTTATTATGCCATACTGTTCTGAGGTCACTCTGAACGGAACCAAACTTGGTAAGTATGTAATATGGTGTTTAATAGTGGACTAAGAGATGCATTGCATAAAAACAGAGAATTTTAGTAGCGGTAACTTGGATAAGATACAGTCAAGCTTGTTACACTTTATTACAGTTTGTGGAACAGTTGAAGCAGGTATGTTTTTTGCAATAGAATAGTACAAGTTTAAATGATACTAAACTCAGGAGTTAAATCTTAAAAATGCATTCAAGTACCTTAATTAATAACAAAAATGTATCTTATTTGTGTATATAGCTGTAGATCCTCAAATCAGCTCTGAATTCATGCGGACGCTATCCTTGCTTTAGGAGGGTGGCTACTTTGATTCCCCATGGTCCTTGTGTGTGTTGTAAAGTAGCCACCACTCCAAGCTCACTCCTGTGATGTACTACAATCTCACGTTTAGTTACTAATTTGCATTGAGATTGTAATCTATCACGGGAGCAAGCTTGGAGCGGTGGCTACTTTACAACACACACAAGGACCACGAGGATCAAAAGTAGCCACCCACCAATTCAGAGTTGATTTGAGGATCTACAGCTGAGTTATACACAAATAAGCTACACTTTTGTTAATAGTTAAGGTACTTGAATGCATTTTTAAGATTTAACTTCTGAGTTTAGTGACATTTTAAATTTCCCTCTGTAATGCACGGGGTCAGGGTGCAGATCTCATCAACAGTTGTAAACTAGATTTGAACACTGTTTGTCCTAACAAAGGGTTAAATATCTAGACGCATAAAGAATAAAAGAAGGCTCTTAAGCTCGTGTGGACTGAAAAGTAACACGTGATGTGTCAATAGTGCTAAAATAAAACCTCACAAAACTTAGCAAAAACAGTAATGAAACAAAGAAAGGTTTGAGCATATTCCATAAAAATATAAACTAGATACAAAAATCTATATACACAAAAATGGTGCTGGCACTTTCAATAAGTACACTACATTTTCAAAAAACATGTACTTTTTTACTTTATGTAAAATACTTCTTTAATGTACCAGTTTTCTAGATCTGTAGTAGTTGCAGGTTGTGGTATTTTTAG